GAATTCCTCGTCTCTTCAGCTGACGAGGAGCTTTCCGCCCACGCCTGCAACTACGCCACAGCCTTAGGCAGGTCTTTGCAGGGCTCCAACACGAAGGCTCTCGGGCCCACAACGTGAACTGTGATTTTAACACCACATCTGGTTTTCAAGCCAAGCTAAACTAATTGGACGGCTTCAATTAGGAGTTCCTGAGCACTGTTTGCTGAACATCATGTCCTTGCACAGTATTCAGAGTCAGCAAATCTGGAGCGAGTCCCTGTACACTTTGGTCAGCTTCAGGCCCTCTGCCTTCTCACAGCGGGTGGACGCAGAAAGAGCTGGCGACGTAGCAAATTACCACTCCATGTTTACGCAACAAAGCGTCTGCCCTGCAGAATATCTTGCCCTGACGCAAAAAGTCAAAAGCCCATGTCTGGAAATCTGCAGTACAGTGCAAATCGGCATGGGTCCCTTTCCTCTCGCCAACAAAAACAACAATTACAAGCAACTCAGACGGCCCAGCTATGAAATAGGGCCTTGTTGCTGAGAAAAGCTAGCAATTAGGGGGCATTGTTCAGCAAAGGAAAGCAGCTTTTATTTTTTTAGTTAGTTTGCCATGCCCCAAAGGTCTGCATGTCCAGAATGCAACTTCTTATTGATATTCACTGATGCTATACCGAGGTCAAAAGCAGGATAGGAGCGTTAATTTCACCGCTCTGTTGGATTCCATCCCCATTTCCCCCCTCCTGACATCTGGCTTTGCCTGGGAAGCTGGAAAACGTCTTTAATATTCTCATGACAGTCAAGACGACATATGGAAAACATTGTAATACCTTAATCTGCAATGCTTCTAAAGAGAGACAGAGAGCGAGCGAAAGAGAGAGATAGATGCTTGGCTTTCTAATTTGTAGGTTTCAGAAGTTCTTCTGGGTAGCCAGACGGCATATGAGACCAGAGACTCTTCGATATACATCACTCGCTTATTTTCCACACCTGCCAATAGCTAGTAAATTAGAACTCCTGCAGGGAATATACTGTCTACTGATTTAAAGTGATAATTCAGCCCAAAATTTAAATTCTGTCATTTACACACCCTCACGTTGTTTCAAACCCATTTTTTTTTCTTACTTGGAACACAAAGGGTGAATATTTGAAGAATGTCCTAGCCATGTCCTAGAATATCCATATGACTTCTGCAGTATCAGGGCTCTACAGTGCGACCATAATGCGACTGAAAACTACTGCGTGCTACTATGACATTTTTTTTAGGAGCACCAGTGTGACTGAACCGATCATCATCATACTTGTGATTGCGCTCAGGGGAGCTTCAAAGGTTTCTAACGTTACGTGTTTTTGCAGCGTCGAGTAATGTATCACAGACATATCTCACGAATCCTTTCATAAGCAAAGTGTAGACAGGGTGTAAATAAGAGATTCATTGCGCAGTGTAGAGAGCTTCGTTGATTATAAATGTGAGCTCGCGATGAACTAAGATGAGTGAC